AGATGTTATGGGTCCCACAGAATTTCCGAGAACTCCAGGTGCCCTGAACTTGCAGCCTTGTTGGTGACGTATTTGTGCATAGGGACACCAGAGAGAGCCTGAGTCTCTCAGTTGGGAGAGAGACCCAGGTCTCCCGTGCCCCGCCCCCTGTGAGCTCCCCCATAGAGAGGACCCAGCGCTCTGAGCCTGAGTGGATCCCTCCGCATCCCCAGTGGCCGCAGGTGGACACACAGGTTTCAGCCACCTCTGTGCTGGCTGAGAGGAGCCACGGTGTTTCCCAGAGCCCAGGGCCTCATACCAACTTCACTGTGAGGCCGTATAGTGGAAATCCCCTTAGATGATTTCCTTGCTAGATATTTTCTCCTAAAACAATGATTTTAAGCATAAAACACATTTTAATTAAGATTAAGTATATTCTCCAGAAAGAGTAGAGTTGCTCCCTCAGGCCTCCCAGCACAAGGACAGCAGCTCATCCTTCATCCTCATGTCTGACGCCAGTGTCTCCTGCACCATATTAGAGCTGAATGTGGGGGTGCACGCCTGCATTCCCAGCTGCTGGGGGGTGGGTGAATCTGGAGGATGGTGAGCTGGGCCAGCCTGGGCAAGAGAGCAAGACCTTGCCTCAAAAAAAAAAAAAAGTTAGATTGTGACTAACTAACAAAACCTTCCAGTTGCCCACATCTCAGAACAAGGCAAGTCCTTGCAAGGGTCTGTGAGGCTCTGAGTGACCTGGATCCCAGCTCTTCCCTGAACCTACCTGCACCTCCTTCCATTCTATTTCACCCACAATGGTCCCTTACATTCCTGCAACCAGAAAGCAAGCTGCCTCCGGGCCTCTGCACCTGTTGCTCCCAAGACCATGCTTGACCCCCATGCCACCTTTACAGCAAGGCCTGCCCTGGCTGCAGCCTTCTCAAAGTCACAGGCTCGGCAGGCTCCATTCCTCTCCCCTGGCTCATGCTTCTCACCACTTATTACTGTATGCGGCATTACTTCCTTATTTTGATTATGTTCATCTTCCTCCCCAAGAGCACAAGCCCCGCACGGGGAGAGAGCTGTGCTGTTTCCTTTGCTGGCGCACACACATGCCTGGCAGATGGGAGCAGTAAACATTCACTGAATACAGATTCATCCACGGGAGAGACACATGATATCCACAGTGAAGACGGAAACCTCTTCATCAAAAGAAAGCGACTTTGAACACAAACAGCGGAAGGAAATGAGCCACATTTAAAAACTCCAACAGACAAGGCGAGGGCTGGGAGATGGACCTGTCTTTCTTCTGGTTTGCTTCTTCTACCATAAAAGCAAGGTGTGGGTAGCTGTTCTCCAAGTGTTTAGGGTGTGAGGACCAAGGCTGCTCCCTGTAGAATCAGCTAAATGAGAGTTGAACTCAGACTGTGGGGACACTGATCTGCATCATGCTGACTGGCATCAGGCATCGTGCACCTCTGGAGTGCACACAGCTCTCGGCACGCAGAGGTCGGGAGCCTTTCCAGTTGGAGGGTCTGCCATTCACAAGGCCAGCTTCATTGAGGCCTAGGTTCTTTCCCCCTGACCAGATGCTAAGCTCTTGGAGGGCTTCTGAGACACCATGTGGCTATGGCAGCTAGTGTCCCTGAAGACCTGTTGATATCTGGATACATGCAAGACTGGAAAGGTGGGCAGCCTTCCAGGTGGTGGTGATGATGATCTGCTGTGGTGACTTCTCTGTCCTTAGGCTTACATGGCCGGACACTTGCTCAAACTGGGCAGTTTTTCCTAGGGACCGTCTTTCCCAATCGAACCTCCTTCCCTTTGAAAACATTCCCTTTCCCAGAAAGGGATAATGCACCTAAATTCTCCCATAATCCCAATGACTCTGGAGGCTCAGGCAGGAGGATGGCAAGTTCTAGGCCAGCCTGGGCAACTTAGTGAGGCCCTGTCTCAAAATGAAAGATTAAAAGAGCTGGGGATGAAGCTCACTGGTAAAGCACCCCGGGACTAAAAACAAACACGAAAAGAACAATAAACACCTAAACTCTGACACAAGTGCCACCTTCGGGTTGGATAATAATGTTCTGTTAGTGCCAACTTTCTAGGCTTGGCCAAGCTAATGGTTGTGTGGTTTGCTTCTGAGAGGAAACAGGAGAAGGTATATGGATGGGAAAGCACTGTATCATTTTTGCAATTTCTTATAAGTCTATAGTTTCTTAAAGTGAAAAAGATTAAATATAAAAGAACCTTCTCACATGTCGGAGGAGCAAGGGAGCTTGGTGGAGAGAAGAAGAGGGATGGGGGAGAGATGAAGGGAAGGAGAGGATGACGGGATTCCACACACAGAGAGATTCTATTTGACAAAGTCCCCAATGGACCATTAGTGCAGTTAAATTAAGCCAGGCCCTACAATGTCTTTACTGTCCATAACTTCTGTTTTTTTTAAGTAGTGATATTACATCTTTGGAAGGAGAACAGATTGAGACACGTCTTCCAACAATTTCACCTCCACTGAGTCCCCACCTGCCTGAGACTCAAATCCTTTCATCTGCACATGTGTCTGGGGCCCTTTTGTGCTTGGAGTTTCTAATGAGTGAATTGCTCTGGAGCATATAAGAACACTGCTTCCAGTTGAGGTGCCGCATCTTCGACAGGAGGTCAGGCTGACCTCCTCTCCCAAGGACCCTGGTCTGTGGATAGAAAGATCCAGGGGAGCAACACCCGCAGTGTGACCAAGTCCGGAGTCACACACCCTTTGCTACCCTCTGTGTTCTGAAAGCTCCAGTCATTAAGGACAGGCTTGGTGCAATGGGAGTCAACACGGCTTTGAGGGTGACTGGTGGTGGTTTTGTGCAGAGGGCGTGTCCTTTGCAGCTAAAATAGAATTCAATGCTCACCCAATCTTCAGTGGATCATCACAGCCAACATTTTTATGTGCCAGACACTGTTATAGGTACCTCACAAGCAAATATTAGCCCATCAAATTGTCCTAATGCTATGCGAGGAGGCCCTTGAGCTCAATCTGTTTTTAAGATAAAGAAACAGAGGCATGAGGAKGTTGGTAACTTGCCAAGTCACACAGTTGTCAGTGGGAGAGACAGGACAGGACAGAGGACGCTGGCTGCAGGACTGATGTTCTCCTCCACCACACCTGGCTTTGTGATGGACAGGACTGCCACAGCTCCTCCCTTCTGAGGGCAGCCGAAGGCCCTGGACCACAGACCCAAGGATGCAGGTGGCCCCACTCACAGTCACCCTGGGGGATGACAGCCTGCACTTCCCCAAGACAAAAGTGTGGGGACACAAATGACCCTGTGGTATTACCACTCCTTAGCGGTGCCTTCGGTCCCCATCTCCCTGTCTTCAAGTTCAAGAGCCAGGGCTGGGTGCCATCTGAAGTCAGCAGGGTGAAGGACTTATTGAGGACTAACCTCAGGCTCCCAGGCAGGCATTTCTCCCTACCCAAGGCCAGAGGAGCCAAACCCCATGCTGAGCATCCTGGCCACAGTCACAAGGTCATGACATCTTCAGGAAGTCTCCAGTGCACTGAGGCCAGGTCCCTTCCACACTGTGGCATGCCCCTTGCTGAACACGGGAGGATTACATGCAAATGACAGGAATCCGGTGGTGAGACCTTAAATCTCAGAAAAAGCATTTGATTTCATAATGCCTCTGAGAAGATGTTGCAAGAGTCCTTCAATCACATCCAGAAACACTGGCAAGTGAGGATCCACAGAACTCAACACAGCAAGAAAGAGCCAGCAGCACAGGTCTGGGTTCCCTCCCTCACACCATAGATGGATAGATATACAGATGGATGGATGGATAGATAAATGGATGGATAGATGGATAGATGAATGGATGGATGGATGGATGGATGGATAGATAGTTGGTTAAAACAAGTGGAAAAAAATGAAAGAAAAATCACAAGGGTATTGACAAGGAAGAAACTTCTGGAAAAAACTATTTGAATCTGAAGGTAATAAATACCTTATGATACTTACAGAAATCTGAACATTTCTTATAAAAAAGCCAAACTGACACTAACCATCTTCGTGACCACATTACCAAAGGAAAAGAAACTGAAGTGCCCATCACTTGCTATCACTCTGTTTCACAAATCTTTTCCCAAACAACTCACTTGACATGTGATTATTTTATTCTAAAAAGAACCAAAGCTGCAGTATAACCCAAGTCTTTCTTAAATATCAGAGAAAAAGAAAAACCTCTTTTGTTAATTTTCGTTTTTAAAACGAGTCTCAAACGAACATATTTTTCCTGATCATGAATACCCCTCCACGTTTGAGGATCTGCTGGGCAGCTTTTCCTCCGTGTCGTTACCCCAGGAAGCAAGTGCTCTTGAATCAACACTTTGAGACTTTCCAGAGTGACAGCAGCTAGCACAGCTTGGATTGGTAGACTGAGCCAGCCAAGGGGATGGCCTGCCAGGTGTCCTGGGTTCTTTTTAATTTAGGAATTCCTTGGCCTGTCTGTGTGTAGATTTCTGTTGGATGTGCTCCTGAAGTGGCGCCAAGCTGACCCTGGGAACTGAGGCTTTCCCAGCCCCTAGCCAGTAACAGATGAGCCCACCATATTCAAGACTGTGAGCATCACCCCCAGCTCTTCTCCTGCAAGCCAGACATGACAGCCCCCAGTTCCTGCTTTGATATGCAACCCAAACTGCAGATCAGCACACTTAAAAGTAAAGCCAAAGCCACAGAAATACTCGAATCCCCTTCCCAACTCTGATGTAAACCCAAGGCGCACAGAGGCTGATTACTTCCACCCTGCTTCTGCAGGCTACATTTCTGCCCTCTCCCCTCTGTTGGGTCCCGCAGGCCACACGGCGCAGGAGGAGCTGTTGAGTGACCCCATGGGCAGATGTAGGACTCAGCTTCCACTTCTGGGTGAAAGGGTCCTGATAGGAAGCAAAAAGCACTCTTCCTGAACATCTGTGCCCAGGCATGGAGTGGGACCCCACCTTAGACATACCAAGGATGACCAGGGGCCAGTGTGGCACCTACCTCAGGATGAAGAAATCCACGGTAGAGTTGCTGGAGATGGTGACATAGGCAGTAACCACGTCTCCCTGCTTCACGGGTCGGGAGGGCAGCCAGATGACCACGTTGGCGTCCAGACGCAGCTCACGGAGCTGGGCACTGTCCTGGGTGCGGTACAGGCCCACGGTGCCAATCCTCTGCAGGTGCGAGGTTGCTTCCTGCAGACCCCCCTTCCCTGGGCGAATGGCGTTGCCCTTCCTGACGTCACCCCCGGTGCAGTCCCCTCGCTCGCTCCCCGGCTGCACGGTGTAGTAGAGCTCCACGGGACTCCCCTCGGGCTGCTCCGCCGGCTTCCGCCTCCCCCCCACCACCGGGGGGCTGAACCAGCTGGCCGGGAGCTCTAGCTCGGCCACGCACAGCCCCAGATCCCCACCTAGCTGGCAGCTGCCCCTCACCTCCCGGGTCTCCCGGAAAGCGAAGACCCGCAGGCAGGGCAGCCTCTCCGCTGCCCTATGGTCGTCCCAGTCTCTGCCCACAATGTAGAAGAGGATCTGCACCTTGGACCGGTTCAGGTAGATCTTGTCCCGCAGGATGTAGGCCTTCAGTTTCCAGTTGAAAGTAAACTTGTTGGTTGGGCCTAAAAAGTTTGAGGTCGACATGAAGTCCAGAGGCACAACCTTCTCTGCAGAATAAGGCCCATAGCTGGCGTTCAGCACTGGGGGCTGCCTGGCTCTGTACACGAAGAAGGACTCCACCCGGGACTGCAGGCTGGCATTGCCCAGTGGGTCCTGGCTGGCCTCCTTCAGGAAGAAGGAGCTCTCTGCTCTGAGGATGTGGTAGCTCACAGGCAGGTAGGGCGGCAGCGAGGAGAATCTCTGAATGCTGTCTGTGACCCCACGACCTTCTATCACTAAAAGAGGGAAAAGAAAGGAAAGAAAAAGACAAATTAACAGGCTGCCGAGAGGTTCCCAGGTCTCTGAGCAACTCAGAAATGAAGGCCGGAATTCAGAAGTCCACTTGGCCAGAATGTTTATATTCTTTCTAGAAATAGCCAGTAAATGACTCTAGAGGGCCCACAAATTATGGGCTCCTATTGGATGGATATAGTAAAATGCAGAGTCTTGGGCAGTGATGGTCAATGATTGGTGGTCATCTCCCATGGTTCAGCCCAGCTGAAAGCTGCAAACCACCTGTGAGATCTACTCTACGTGAGATTAAGTTGTATTTAAGGGCACTGGGACATGAACAGGAAAACAGCCCGATGGAATAGAATGAGGTTCATAAATAAGTCCAAGAACATCTGAAGCTTTGTGTGTGATAAGGATGTCATCTCAAATATGAATACAAGTACATGGGACCACTGGGTAGCCATCTGGGAAAAAATAAAGGTAGATCTATACCTCTTAGCACACATAGGAATAAGCTTCAAATGTACCAGTGATTTGAATGAAAGCAAATGAAGTATTTTAAGTGGTAAATAAAACATGAATGATCTCAATAATCTAAGTGTAGGAAAGGTTTTCTAATTATAACTCAAAATCCACATGCTTTAGTAAATTACAAATTTGCCTATATGATCTAAAATATTTGTATTTAAATACCATAGACAAAGGCAAAAGAAAGCTGATAAATTGGGAGAAAATTATTTTCAGTGTATATATTACAGATAAAGGGCTAATATCCCTAATTGAAAAAAAAACCAAAAAACTGAGAAACGGCGAATAGACAATTCACCAAAAAATACGCTAAAATTTCCCTTACATATATAAAAATTACCTATCCTAACTTAATCAGCAAATACAGATTAAAACTACAAATCAGGACCATTCCCCCTATCAGATTGGCAGATAAGGGCACCGGGAGGCAGCAGAGACTCAAGTGGCTTGCTTCTGGCCAAGAAAAGGGAGTCAACTCTTTCGGAAGGCAATTGGCAATGTCTTGACATACACATTTTCCTTTGACTCAGTGACCCGGACTCCTCAAAATCCACCCTGAAGACACAAGGAGGGCATACACAAGGTGTGGACAGGGTCCTTCAATGCAACCTTGTTTCCAAATGAGACAGGTTTTGCAACTATGTTACATTTTCCGTAGACACATTCCCATGTAGGAAAACCGCAGAATAAACTTGGGTACATCCATGCATCACAGCACTTCAGCTGCAAAAAGAGGAGCAAGGTCTGTACGGACCACTGTGGAGAGAGCTGCAGATCAGGTTTGTATGAACCACTGGGGAGAGAATTCCAGAACATCACACACAGTGAAAAAGCCAAGAGCAAGAGACACGTACTGCCTTTTGTGTAACAAAAAAAAAAAAAGGGGGGGGGGGGAGGCAATAAAACACACATGTGTCTGCTTATTTGTGTAAAACCACACAGAAAGAAGGGAAAACTCAGCCCCCATGGGATTGGTTGTCAAGAGGGGCAGGATGGGAACAGGGCTGAAGGAAAGGGGGCCAAGGACAGGAAAAGGGGCAGGACAGGCTAGCATAGTTCCTTGTGTGGTTCTGATGCTCCAGTCATGTTAACATTTTGCGTATGATATTAATAATCACAACAAGGATGAACAAAATCCCCAAATTAACTGCGGACAAGAACAGATAAACTTAATTCTGTCTCAAAGGAATCCAGAAACCAGACTGAAGAAGGGTGGGGAAGATCAAACCCAAGCAAGCTGGACACACATTTTTTGCTCTGTATCCCAAGGCTAAAGACAAAGAAGAACCGTTTTACGGTATAGTTAGAAAACTTGTTTTGGGCACAAGAATGGATTAGCAATTCTGAAGCTGCTTTCTGTGCAGTGTAGGATTGAGTGAATGAGAAATATATAGAGAATATAGGGCCCGGGAGGGTGTCTGCAGTATGTTAGAAGGAGGCTGGGGGCAGAGCAGGCTCTTGGTGATTTGAGCATCCAGATAAATGATGATGGTACAGGATTATTAACCACTCAATGAAGTAAGAACCCCTGAGTTGTTATCAATAAAATAAAGTTAGACGGAAAGGAACGTTTTCCCTTGTGGCCTGATCCAAACTGGTGACAGCATTCACAGCACTGACAGATTGAGGCAAGAATTGTGAATGGATACTAAAACTGGGTGAGAGTTTCATGAGTAAAAGGATATTCAGTTCCTTCCAGCAGGAGAGCCCCAAGTGGGTCACTAAGGAATAGTCATAGGTTTTAGGAGAAACAGGGCAGGAAGCACTTGAACCAAGGGACCAGATTTCACACCAGCAGTAATGGAAGAAATAGACATCTTTCTCCCCTCACATGCACCCAGGAGAAGGCAGAATCAATTCCCCTGTGTTCCTGCAAACATTCACACTAAAAGTTGCATAATTTACTGTTGAGAGCCACAGCCGAAGGGGCCCCAGAAAACTTCCAGCTGCCAGCTAACTTCCAGCTGCCAGCAGATGATTGGCTCACAGCAGCCCCAGCAAACTTCCAGCTGCCAGTTGATGATTGGCTCACAGCAGCCCCAGCAAACTTCTGGCTGCCAGCTGATTGACTCCTCTGAGGTATGGTGATGCTCATTGGGCTGTTTCCCCGCCCTTTCAGACCACAGAGCTGCTCATTGGGGGACTTTTTTTGGCTCTGCCCACGGGACCCAGCCAATCAGCCTCAAGAGCAGAAGGAATTGGGGGTTGAGAGGCTTGTGGGAAGCCAGTGGTGGCAGTTGGGCTCTGAGGGAATTCCTGAAGAGCTCCTGTGGTGCTGTGTGTGTGTTCTAAAAATAAAGTTTGTTTCTGCTTGATAAGTGGCTCCTGAATTGTGCCCAGCCACACTTCGGCAATTTACATCTAATGATGAGGAAAGTTCTGAGGGAYATAATTGAAATTAACGGGCCTCTCATCAAAATGCCTAGGCCAAGAGCAACAAGGAGTGAGTGGGCAAATGTCTCAGAGACGTGGAACCCAAGGGAACATGGAGCAATTTTCTTTTCCCATCAAGAGAATTTTTAGAACAAGTGGCAAAATTTGTTGTCTCCAAAATATTTAGTAAAATCGGATCAAAGTCACTTTCCTCATTTTGATAACTGCAAAAGTTGTATAAAAGGCTATCTGTATTTTTTAATTTATTATTTAAAAATATTATTAAAAAATATTATTAAAAATATCATTAAATTTTTTTTTAATGGTACTCGGGATTGAACCCAAGGGTGCTTTACCACTGAGCAACTTCCCCAAACCTTTTTATTGTATTTTTGACAGGGTCTTGCTAAGTTGCCCAGGCTGGCCTCAAACTTGCAGTTCTGCTGCCTCAACCTCCTGAATCTCTACTATCACAAGTGTATGCTGCCACCCCTGGCTAAGGCTATCTTTATTTTTCAGAAATACATTCAGAAATATTTAGTAATAAAGTGATGTGTCAACAATGCATTGTCAAATAACTTGGGAGGTAGAGGAAGCAACTCATGTAAAAGCTAATATGATAAAAATTTTCTTATTTAAGGAATCTGGGAAAAAGATATATGGAATTATTTTTACTATTCTTGCAACTTTTCCTTAAGTCTCAGACTGACAACATAAAAAAAATGCTCAGTGGAATAAATAATATGGAAGCAATAAATAAATAAATAAATAAATAAATAAATAAATAAATAAATAAAATGTTATCTGCAGGTTAAATCAAAATCTCCTGGGGGCTGGGAGGTTCCCTCACTGAGGCAGGGAAGAGCAAGAGCCACCCTTAATGTCACCTGTCACTTCTTCCACCTGTTGTGTCTGCATTCATCCCAGCTACCAACAGCAATAAGCCAGCTAAACTCCCTGTGGAGCATTACGTTGTTAGGGGACTACTAGGGACTCCCTGCACCCAGGACTCAAGAACTCACAGCACTCCAAGCTCTGCAAGCCCATCTCCTTACCCTGGTCTTCCAAAGTCCCAGGAAACTCAAGATAGGCTTGGTACATGACTGACAGAGAAGCAAGGCACTCTTTCCAACCGAACTTCTTCCAGCTCACGCCAGCATATGCCCCCAGCATCTGGGACTGCCTTGCTCACTGTCCTCTGAATGTGTCCCTAATCCTTTCCTGCAGGGACACTGGTGGTACATCAAAGCTGGCTTTGGTGCTGCAGCCAAATGAACTTGGGTTGTCGAGGTGGCTCTTCAAAGCCACACTGCTCTTCTGGTTCTCTGCCAGGAGGCCCTGTTCTGAGGTGGCCCACAGCAAGGGCACCTTAGCCCCACTCTCTGTCCTTCAGATGGCCCAGCCCTTCCATCTCCACACTCATTTCAGCACCAGCTTGGAACACACTCAAAAGCCCCTGCCAAGGTGCAGCCTTCCAGAAAGAGCTCAGGATCTATCTCTGAGAATCCACGACGATCAGGAATTTTGTAACATCCAGCAGGCTAATTGCCACATCTAATGCTTTTATTTTGAAGTATTCATCTCTGTCCAAAAAAGCTCTTAAAACTTGAAGTGCAGAGATTTAGAGACTCATTTTCTGGGGAGGGGAGTGGGCCAAGGACTCCCGAAGCTGCAGAATGCAGGACAGAAGGCACCTGGTGTCGGGAGCTGTCCTCAGGAGCACTTGTCAGCAAGCTCCCTTACCTCACTCTCCCTGCACCTAAGAGCCGGATGGGGACTTTCCTCTACTTTTTCTTTTTCCCCTTTTAACTAAAAACAAATTCTGAATGGTGAACCTTCTGTTCTTGAGCAGATGCTGTTTAGTCTCTGCAGACTGGAGTGTCTGCCTCCTCTTGTGGGCTTCATCCATTATTTGAAGAGTCCATTTTTTCCCCTTGGGGTGGAACAGAAAGCATACAGCTTCTATCTTTCCACTGAATCTAGTTCTGAATTCTCCTGGGCCATGAGATTTACCTGAGCCCAGATGTGGTCAGGGAAGGAGTGGGATCTCAGACGGTGGCCAAGGGCAAGGAGTTTGGCCACAGTCAGATCCAGGCTTGAT